AACTATGTTGTAAGCCAGGTTAGCTCAGTTGGAGCAGCTGGCGTTTATTTTGATACATATCTAACATACATTACATTGAATGTGAAACAATAAAGCACCGGAATGCATTTGTAAAATATTTTACCTCTAATAAATTATACCCCTATCACAGACATTAAAAACCGCCCAGGCAAAAACCATAGATGGTTAACTATGGAAAACCTGTGTCCGTCGCTATGTAAATAATGTCTCAAGGGAGAATGCCGGACGTGCATTCAGTGCAATAGTTAAAAATGCACGAATACCCTATAATATTTGCATGTATGAAAAAATCCAAATTAAAATACCGGGTACATTTCAACAGTTTTGTTATTTCCATTACCAGTATATTTATACAAATATGATATATATATTATATATAAAGAAAAAAAATGTGTGTGTATTGAAGAGCACTGGCTTAGAATGATTTGAACACTTTACTGAGTACTCATTTCTCATTGGCCTTCCTTTGGCCACGCCTACATATACAACCAAAACCATTAATATACGTTCCTCTCATACAATGTGTTCCCGCTCTACTACGAAACACGGGAAAAAATATTATCTGCACCAGGATTGCCTACAACTCTCTGGATTGGATGGCATAGATTTTTCATATGTACATTGATATTAATGATATATTAATTAATAATATAACAATGGGAAAAATTGGCACATTGATAATTGTCATTTTCCAAACAAAAATGATCTAAAATATTTTGTATTTTGGCTTCTCATCATATGATGAGTCATATATACAGCACAAACAATATCCAGTTATAACCTTGAATATAAACATTATATTGAGCTATCTTTGACTTTTATTTTCCTTTACACATTCAGATACATGTGAGACAAAATAAAAAAAAAATACAGATGATAAGTATAAATTTCACATTTCTGCTTATGAAATGGAGGTCCCATTTCACTTTAAAATATAATACCGGTACAATATTATTTATTCTTTATGGTGCATGTACATATATGAAATAAACTTTGCAGTTTAAATTGAATTAAAAATGTGAAAAAATTACATAAAAGGCTATTTAATTTGCACTTACATACAGGCTAATAACATCTTCAACTTGTAATGCAAAATGATGCATTTTACATATTCACAAACACAAAAAATGGTGAAAAATCTATTAGAATATATGTGAGGATGCAGTTTGCAAAATGCATGAGATCATGTATGAATCCAGCTTCACCCAGTGAGCCTGTCTGTGCTTGACTTAGTTTAGATTATGTTTTTATGTCTGTGGTATATGTTAGTGTGTTTGCATATGTGTCCAGCTTCACAAATTTTCATGTATGTGCTCGACTTCACACGCCTTGGAAAATATGTAATAGGTTGTGGCAGATGCATGTGTATTTGTGTATGTGTCCAGCTTCACACATTTTCATGTATGTGCTCGACTTCACACACCTTGGAAAATATGTAATAGGTTGTGGCAGATGCATGTGTATTTGTGTATGTGTCCAGCTTCACACATTTTCATGTATGTGCTCGACTTCACACACCTTGGAAAATATGTAATAGGTTATGGTAGATGCATGTTTGCATGTATCCAGATATGTGTGCTCGATTTACATGTCATCAATGTAAAATATGTAAACATGGTGGTGTAAAACATTCACAAGTGTATGATGCACACAGAGACAAAAAAGTTTTGTGTGTTTTGTTCTGCAAGAGTGACCGTATAAATAAACTACAATTATGTCCTGTAGAGAAATTGACAATCATAATAAGTAACATATACATTTTACATAACTGTACTGAAAATTACACATCCAGTTTAAATTACTGTACTGAAAATTAAATTTGTGCAAAACTCTCTTGCTGAATAACATTCAAAATCATGAATGCTTGCATGTTCATCTATAAATCTCCAAGATATTACCTAGTTAGTTTGTAGCGCCGCACCGAGCGGTCTTACAACACATTTCATAATGTCAGTTTGCATGAATAAATTAATTTATCCTTGTTCCTCATATCTTGAAAATAGATGCCGAAATTCTAGTCTACAGTTTATTTACACAGCACATCATAAATAGAAACATTCAGAAAAAATAATTCACAAAAAATACATTCAAGTAAAACAATCACATGTACATATAAATCCAAGAATTATTATGTAATAGTCCAAGTAAGTGAGTAACTTTATCTATCTCTAACAGTTCTATCTACTAAGTCTTCTATATTTCCATCTTCCTATCTTATTCTAAAATTCTGTTGCACTATATATATACTCAAGATCCGTTCCTGACGATCAGGAGTACAATACAAGATCCTTAAGATCAGGAGTCAATACACAGGTCATTACAATCAGCAGGGGGGTTAGATAAGAGGGGGCGATTAATATACAGATAAGATTTATAGCATAAGTTTAGATGATAATGTGTGAACAATTAAGTAATGAAGAGTGATTTACAGATAAGATATTTTAAATCATTACAAGTTTACATATTCTTGATCATAATTATCATTGTTAAGAGTATATTCTTGATCATGACATCTGTATTGGATTCCCCTCTCTGACATCTTTTCTTGTTCACCAATTAGTTCAACAGTCATCTAGGCACTCAGGTGTTGTAAGTCCTAATAATAATCATTTTCAAAATTATAAAGAAAAACAATACAATTTTTAAAGAGGTTTTCATTACTTCTATTGAAATTAAAGCAGAAGCTTTTAAAGACATACTTAAGTAACTTAAAACATAACTAAACATAATGGAAATTTAGACGATGCGACTCAATGTCAAACATATGATAGTGATACATCTGTAATATCCATGAAACTTACTGAGATACTTAAAATGTTTGTGGCGTGCTTTCACTAAGCTATGCAATATATAAACATTTCTTGATTACATGTTGAAGTCCAAGGCTTAAAAAAAATAAGTTTGTTCCCTGTAACATTCCCAAAACATCAAGGGTCGGCAGGTCGGATTTTTTTTTTTTTTGCTTATGAATGGTGAAACATCCCCAGACTGAAAATACCAGGTGTTATATTTACAGTGGACACCCAACATGGCATCCAAAATGGCTGCCTAGCGACAGAAAACAAACTTCAGAAAGTTGTAGGGGGAAACTGTTGTTACAATAATGATTACTCTTTATATTTAAGGTAAATGTAAACTAGGTCGACATATTTTATGTCTCAAATTATACTACAAGCTATTGTTTTAATTTAATAAATGGAATCAGCTGATTGATCAAACAAAGTTTTGCCATTTGTCAGGGAAAAAAAATCCACCCAGGGATAATTTGAATGGGTCGGTCGGGTTACAGGAAACATACATAATTTTTTTAGGCCCAATCCTCACCTGACTTGCACATTCATATGGATTGGTTCTATGCTGATAATCCCTTTCAACAATCTTCATCACAACATCTGAAAGTCACCCTTCTTCAAAATTAAATCTGCCGCTCACCTCAAATGTATCTAGACTCCCTGTACAAATGCATGGAAAATAAAATTTTGAATAAAAAATCATGTAGTGAGTATCCAGCAATGGTGAAAAAAATTATCTCTAGAATTTTACATTTATATTGAATGAAAAATGCATTGTTCCCTCTACTTAAAAAAACTCAAAAGACATTACCTAAAATGGAAATAAGGTACAACTGTGACTGGTGTCTCAGGCACAACCAATAAACACACGACCTTTCCATCCTTAGCAGCATGCATTACCTCCACATTCCTTTTTTCTACAAAAAATATACAATGAAAATTTTAAAAAATGAGAGCGAAGAGTGTTACATGTACTTGGGGGAATAGAGGAAGGAATTTTGAAGTCAGATAAACTATATTTCTGCCAGTGTTGGGACGGATAAATTTCCATAATAAAATGAAACGAATTATTCGCAACAAATAAGACATATGTATTACCTTGCAGTCACCATTGCACATAATCATTATGTATAAACATTTCTTGATTACACGTTGAAGTCCAATCCTCACCTGACTTGGACATTCATATGGATTGGTTTTATGCTGATAATCCCTTTCAACAATCTTCATCAGAACATCTGAAAGTCACCCTTCTTCAAAATTAAATCTGCCGCTCACCTCAAATGTATATAGACTCCCTGTACAAATGCATGGAAAATAAAATTTTGAATAAAAAATGAATTACCTCTTCACCATACCCGGCCTCTTTAAAAAATGTGAGAAAATAATTTTAATACTTTTCTTTAGAAAAAAATCATGTAGCGAGTATCCAGCAATGGTGAAAAAAAAATTATCTCTAGAATTTTACATTTATATTGAATGAAAAATGAATTGTTCCCTCTACTTAAAAAACTCAAAAGACATTACCTAAAATGGAAATAAGGTACAACTGTGACTGGTGTCTCAGGCACAACCAATAAACACAAGACCTTTCCATCCTTAGCAGCATGCATTAGCTCCACATTCCTTTTTTCTACAAAAAATATACAATGAATTTTTTTTAAAAATGAGAGCGAAGAGTGTTACATGTACTTGGGGGAACAGAGGAAGGAATTTTGAAGTCAGATTAATTATATTTCTGCCAGTGTTGGGACGGATAAATTTCCATAATAAAATGAAACGAATTATTTGCGACAAATAAGACACATGTATTACCTTGCAGTCACCGTCGCACATAATGTATACATACAACTGACAACATCCCAAATCCCTTTCTTTGTTGTTTACTTGGCGGAATTTTCTTTGCCTTCTAGACTGGTTCCCTGTTCTGGTTCCCATACATTGCCGTGAATAAGTCCTACGGTTATTGGTTTTGTTTACAAGCTTCAATATCTATAAAATCTCCCGCACATTTACAGTCTGTATTGTAAACTACTAAAACATACTTTACACACAATTTTCAGCTCAGTATTATGTTATCCTCTTCATTCAAATAATATGTAAACTCTTCTCGAATGTTAAACGAACGATCTACTCTGATAAGTAACCCAAATATGGCACTGTGTATTCGGTTGAATAGCCAATCATTTCAAATCAAGTGGAGCGGGTCTGCATCGCTATTTTGACGAAGTTTGCAACCTGTGGTAATTTTTTGAAACCTCATCTAGATTTAAGGAGATTCTTGTCTTGACAACTGCTCGAACTCCCGGATTGGCATGCACTGCAGGTTTGTTTACGATTTCCAACCGTTTTCACTTTCAGCATAGATCAGTACATTGTGCATAAATGTAGTGAAACAAAACTTCGCTGTATATGTTATTTACTGCCAGAATGTTAGATTAGTATTTTGATAATTTGGGGATTAAATGTTTATGGGTTTCAGTTTTTTTCTGTAAAGGTGTATGTCTCTGGAATATTAATTTAAACAAGACAAAGAAAAACAATTCTGGAGGGGGACTAAAATGAGTAGTTAAAACCGAGCCGGGCCGGGACTTTGAAACTGAAACCGGGTTTTTGCTAATTACTGAGAATATACACAATCAGTTGTCATAAAACTTAGTTACAGATGTATTTATGCCTAGGTTGAGAGTTTCAACTCCGAAATTGACAAATAAGTTTATTTTATTTATAACATTTTGTATTTTAATTGTGTCCATTTTGTTAAAATACAGGTTGAGTGAAATCAGTATGCAGATTGTGAAGGGAAAACATGAAGACGGGGCGAGGAAGATGACAAAACATGATTGAGGATCCCAAAGTTCTTTGGTACAAGCACATTTTTAAAAAATCAAATAATAAGTATCATGAAATGTTACTTGAACAAACATTTACATTATTTAGTGCTTAACTTACTCGGGAGTCATTATATTGTCAAATGTATTCGTATAAAATGTTCATTTTCTTTTGTATAGGCTCAAGCTACTCAGCCTACCATGAGAAAATTAAAAGATCTGCCATGAAGAACAGGCGGGTTCTCAAGTTTCATATTATAGATGGCAAGTATTGTTTAGATTTAATTTAAAAGTATTCTTGATAAAGAAAGGGTGTTTGGCTGTTCATAGCTATTAACTGTGATTGCATTGTGTATGAATTTTCAAAATCAATTCATTCTTTGGTGATCGTGTGCTTTAAACTCATAATTTTTAATAAAAATACTGACTATATATTTGTCCAGGTATATAAAATGTTAATCACTTTATGAATTCTATTTCAGCATGATTGTCATCTTCAATTTGAGGGACTCTCACCTAAAGTCCTTTTACTGTTCCATATCAGCAAAAAGTTCATGAGCAGAAACACGCTATTTGGGAAAAAGGTACATATATCCTAAACCATAACTTGAGTATGATTCTGTACACATGTACAGCTAAGCTAAATATGTAGCACTATTTTGTTCTTTTTGTAAACTGACTACTGAGTAGTCAGGAAAATCTATCATTTCTTTATGTATCAGGGATTTATTCTTTGATTGTGATAAGTACCCTTAAAAAGTACATAATTCTCTAATTGTAATTTTAGGGATTAGGCTTTTTGTGATAAGGGATACATGACCTAACCCCTTGATTCTTCATATAATATGTCAATAATAAGAGGTCCACTCATCTTATTAAATTAATACAATTTTTATTTTTAAGGTTAAAGGTCATGTATGAACTTTTTATTTATTAATTAGGTTGTGCATTGATTTTAGTTTTATTAATCATGGTATTGTGAATTCTGATAACAGATGCCTTTGAAAATATTCATACTTATGCATAGCACTGAAAATATACTTATAGATTTTTTTTCTTTTAGGAAAAGCATTAGAAGAATTCCTGCATGGGAAGAAAAGGACTCTGAAAAGGAAGATGTGACAAATACATTTTGACAGTTATTGATTTCCACTGAAACCAATATCCACAAGAAAGAGGAACATAGTAGTTTTATGTTGATTCACAACTTTAAATTCAAGAATGTACAGTTGGTTTTATTATAAAACATGTCACATACCAAAAACATTTTCGTGAAATGTACTCTGTCTTCGATACTTATTTATGTGTATGTGATTTGCAGGATAGGATGTGGGCAACATATACTGTCAAGAATCTTGATGTTTTTGATCTTATGTTTGTAAAAAAAAAAAAATAGTAATAAACAAAGTTAAAGTAAACTTTTTGTTACTTTGTATATATTAATTATGATGTCCAGACTTCCGCAGTATCGACTTGGAAGAAAAATCTTATTTATAAATTGCATAAGGCTTTATTCACTAGAATGGAAAACAGAAATTATTAACTTTTGTGGTAATTAAAGATGGTATTTAATTAAATTTAAGATCTGTAATTATCAGATTTAATATATCCTAAATATGGTGTTTAATGGTTGTAAATATTAACTTTACTTTTTTGTAAAGTCAAGACAATGTGGGACATTACATCATATTTAAGTGCATGTAAAGTTAATGTAAAGGTTACCTTTTCCAACTTTGACTTTTTTCAGAAAAGCCAATTAAAGGCATTGTAAATAATAAGTTTACATTATCTTTACTTGTTTTGTAAAGCCGAATTTTCATGCAGTGGATAAACCTAGTTTCACATTTGATAAGCTAGATGCTGTCATGAGACAGTAATACCCACACTAAGGTGTTTGCCTCTAAATACACACTCCTTCATATTGGACTTTCCAAGGGAAAAGTCAAAATAATTCTATAATTATCACCGTACATGTATTCGTCAAATTGAGCATAAAATTTTCAGGTGACCATATGATCTATGAGCCTCATATATGTATTTTGTATACTTAATTTATTACCAGTGTGAAATAACAGAATTTAATTAATGAAGTAAATTACTTAATTAGATTCTGATAAATATTTTGCCCATAATTTGGAACTTTTTAAATTTACTTTCTCAACGACATAAAATATTTTTTTTAGTACAAAGCGTTTTTGATGAATTTATCAAAATGTGCAAACTGATTTTAGTACTTGGTCAGGAAAAAAACCCATTGAAAATACATGCAACCCAATTAATTTGTCAATGCCTATCTCCCCCCCCCCCCATCACACACACACACACGCTCTCTCTCTCTCACACATTTTTTAAAATAGACCTAGATGGCAAAGTTATGTTAAAACATCATTTATTATGTTAGTTTGAAATTTGTTCTTGTACTAACAGTTTTACGTGTGAACATCTTATTTTCTACATTCACATTGGGTTTGCGTCACCCATTATCATATTTTTAGATATCACCAATCGGCACACCTCGGCCGATTCATATTTCATCTAATGAAGGCGACGGAATCAGCAAAGGTTTGCCGAATGAGATTATTTAGCACATGTATGCTGACGATGCAGTGTGATCAGTTAAAATCATTTGTGTTTTAATTGGATTATATGGATTATATTTCATGAATTCGTTGTCAGGACCTATGACATTCAGTAAGTACAAGATGTAGTATAAATTGCATAAAAATAAATACATGCAAATGGTTAGGTTGAAGTTCAAAAAGGGTCAAAGATCATCGCATGCCACAGTCGACAAATTTCACATTGTCAAGTTATCTCCCGTTGCGGACATTCAGTATATACAGGCGCAGATCCAGAATTTTTTTTTTTCGGAAAGGGGGGAGGGGGATGTCACACCTCAGTAAAAAAAATCCAGCCCAAGATTTCCTGAGAAGCAAATAAAAAATAATAATTAAAACAATGATGGTGGGGTCCCTGTTTTCTAAGGGGGAGGATGTCCAAAGTCATATTTATTCTCTTCAGTAAATAGTCTTATTTAATTAACTGCAAATTCCAGGGGGGGGGGTGTCTGATCTCCCTAGCCACTGACTCCCTGTACCTGAAATGACAATTGATCTTATGACTCCATAATAGTAGAAAATTTTTCCATTTGACTATATATACATATTTTGTTTCCTGTGTTTATGTCTGTTTGTCTGTCCACAGAAACTTTAACCTTGCCCATAAGTTTTAAGTGGATTGGGCTATACACATGGCTTCCACATTTCATAGGTAAATTTCTTTTGGCAAAACCTTTTAATGGGTACCACCAATTTTTGACCTCTAGATCTCTTGACCTTGGAGTTTGACCCACTTTTACAAGAAAAATACCTTAAAATTGGCCTAAGTTTTGAACAGGTGGTGCCAGGACTTCCATGCTCTGTGTAATCATTGTGAACTTTCAACAGGTATAAATATTTTTGACCTTGACCCTAGAATTGAACCAATTTAACTTGAACATTGGCAATAACTTTTGAACAGGTGAGGAAGTACTAGGGATTTCTCTCTTATTTCACATGTGTATTCCTTGTTACAAGACTTTCCCTTTGATACCACCAATTTTGACCCTTTGACCTTGACCTTGGAGTTTGATTTACATTTGAGAAACTTCAACCTTTGCCAAAAGCTGCCATAACAGTTGCTGTCACAACAAACAAACAAATTACTAAAAAAAACACAGTATACATGCACATATTTTATATTCAACAGATATACTTCTGGTCATATCTCTAGTTCTCCCTTGAATCAGACACGGTGATATACATATTTTAAAAATAATTATTATAAGAGTTGAAAAGGTTGTGGATATTAAATATACTAAGCTCTGCGGATGAATTAGATATATCAGTTTAGCTTTATTTTGCTACCCAAATCACCTTGATTAACTATTTACAAGCATACTTCTTTTCTGAAATGTACTGTTTGCTGTCGTCCATCTGTTTGTCTGCAAACTTTTCACATTCTTAACTTCTTAAGAACCACTGGGCCAATTTCAACCAATTTACATGTAAATATGCAGGGGACATTTTCCAACATAAATCTTCTTCTCGAGAACAGGAAGAAAATTTATTGTCCCCCATTTTCGCTAAAGGTAGGGGACATTAAATCTCATTTGTTTGTCAGTCTGTCCATATGTCACAATAAATTTAACCTTGGTCATCATGGTCATATATTTTGAATGAGAAGAGACAGGACTTTTATATTAAACATGTGTATTAGTATTAACCGGGACAATATCATTCTAAATACACTATGATTTTTATTACCCATGACCTTGAAGTTTGACCTACTGTCATAAACTAATTAATTGTTTTAAATTGATCATTTTGAAAGATAAATGAAAGGGCATTCTTATTACCTGTGATAATTAAGACCTTTCCAAATGTATCATGACTTTTTGACTCTGTGACCTTGACCTTGAAGTTTAACTTACTTTTCAATAATGTTGTATTTCCTTTTCATTGAGAAGAGATACGACTTTCACATTTCAAGTGTACATTACCCAAAACAAGATGTTTCCCAACATGCTATGATTTTTTACACCTTGACCTTGATGTTTTACCAAAATTTCAAAAGAGTGAACTCTCCAAAAAGAGGATTAGGCCACTGTGTAAAATGAAATAGGAGTTTAGGGAAGACGGGGCTTTTTGCATAAAAAACGTCATTTTTCGACCCCCATTTGACCCCCTGGGGCAAAATCAAAATTCCGAAACCTTACTGCACATCTACATGACCCCACCAACCATCTCCCAAAAGATGATTAGGCTGCTGAATAAAATGTAAGAGGAGTTCAGGGAAGAAAGGGCTTTTTGCATAAAAAAACGACGTCATTTTTCGACCCCCATTTGACCCCCTGGGGCAAAATCAAAATTCCGAAACCTTACCACACATCTACATGACCCCACCAACCATCTCCCAAAAGATGATTAGGCTGCTGAATAAAATGTAAGAGGAGTTCAGGGAAGAAGGGGCTTTTTGCATAAAAAACGTCATTTTTCGACCCCCATTTGACCCCCTGGGGCAAAATCAAAATTCCGAAACCTTACTGCACATCTACATGACACCACCAACCATCTCCCAAAAGATGATTAGGGTGCTGAGTAAAATGTAAGAGGAGTTCAGTGAAGACAGGGCTTTTTGCATAAAAAAACGTCATTTTCCGACCCCCATTTGACCCCCTGGGGCAAAATCAAAATT